TCCTTCCAACAGAGGAACAAAGCAGAGCACTGCCCACATGAACCCACTGCCAGGCAGCGAGCGTGGCACTCCAGTAAGGCCAGGATGGAGAGAAATGAGCAGAGCTGAAGCCCCCAGGTCACTGCACTCTGCTAAAGTGTGCTTGCTGACTCTGGGCTCTGGGTAGCACCACACCGTGCCATGCAGGCAACCCGCTGCCACAGCTGCAGGGATCAGAGCCTGAGTTCAGTGCCAGCAGATGGCTGTGCTGGAGCACCCCCTGGTGACCCACAGCTCGCACGAGAGCCGCTCACATCCCACTCTCAGCACAAGGCCACGTGCACTCCAGGTCCCCACCTCTGGTCCCAGGCAGGATGACCAGAATAGCAGGATTTGAGCAGAGGAGCTGATGGTTCCCGGCACATCCCCGCTTTTTAACACGGCTGCTGCCGTTCTCAGCGTGCATTCCCTGGCTGCAGTGAGCAAACTAAACCTCAGGTTGGCAGAGAATGTCTTCATTATGCAATGAGAACGCGCTGCTGAGCGGGATCCCAACAGAGCTGTCAGGAGGAGCACAGAATGCACTGCTGTGCCATCTCCATCCTTCAGACACACACCGTGCCCAGCAGAGCCGATGAGCAAACTGCACTTGGGGTTGTTTGGAGGCCGAGATCTCCTCCAAACCAGAGGAAAAGAAAAAGTGATTTCCAGTTGGCGTTTTGCTGAGCTTGCTGCCCCTGGGATGGGAGGACCGGTAGCTGGAGCTGCACAGGCATCCGAAAACTCATCTGCCAGCTGCAAATTGTAACATAACATCACCTCCATGTGCAAAAAAAAAAAAAAAAAAAAAAAAAAAGCAGCTCAAAACTGATTTATTTTGCTAATTTAATAGAAATAACCAAAACAAACCGGTTTTCAAACAGTGCTTTAAACTGAACTAATACAGCTTCTACAGCACATTCCAGAGTACGGAGCAAGAAGTATTTACAGGCAGCTAACGCGTTAAATAACTATTTGAAGAAAACCTTTTTATTACACGCCGGCAAAAAACACGGGAACAGAGCAATTAGAAACCATAACCTTGTTTAAAAAAAAAGTTAAACATGATTATTTAGGTAATACGATATCACAGAACCAGCACTTTTCTGAATAATCATATTAAACAATGAGCAACGTGTGCAAAAAAAAAGTACCAGTTTAATTACTGGCAGCAAGAAATACTTGGAGAACGTCATGGACTGAACCCTTCCATGAGTAGATTTACAGCTAAAAACCAGCTCTCAGCTGAGGAATTGGGCGTATATACATGTTTTGTGGTGTTCAGAATGGAGAACCTCCCCCATTGCAGGCCATGAGCACACATGCATCTATTTTTTAATGCAGCACTCGCTCTACAACAGGTCAAACTTAACTTAGAACATTATTTTAGCATCTTCCCTCATACAAATTCAAGAAATTCTAAAGCAAGCAGCCTCGAGCTGCTTGGATCACTCATTACAAAAGGCCCAAACTGCATTTCAGACATTCAGCAATCTGCTTATAACAAAGATACCCAAATCAACAGCGATTTTCAAAAACTGATTCCATTCCAGCACATTAAAAAGCATAAAAAGCTGAAACCCCGTAAGCAAACACAGGAATGAGATGGAAGAGTTGCTGTACAAGCACTGGGAGAAAATCAGAAGTTGCCATATCTCAAGATACAGTGCATACGTTCAATCTGAAACATGTCTATGTAAACTGTGGCATATATTCTTATTATGTTTAAAAAAGTACCTCCATTATTTACTCAAACTGCTACTTTTTAAAAAAATATGCAACTTTCCCCCAATTTTTAAAATAAAATGCCACACTATATCATCAGTAACTTCTGCACACTTGGTTTTTAAAAGCTAGGCTCGGTGATACGCACACGAACTTCCCTATAAAAGCATTATCCAAAGAAAAGGACTCCTGTCATGCCAATAGGCAACAAAGCACTTTTATTGCTTTTTTTTCCATGGGAGAGTGTCAGGAAAACAAGGAAGAGCTGAATTCCAGACACCCCACACACAGCCTACAGCACACAGCTCAGCCTCGAAGCCAGCTCACATCACAGAGCACAGAGCTGAGCTCGTTTCAAAGACTTCCTTCAGCTTGCAGAATTGCTCTCCAAACGCTGCCCTGATCCATTATTAAGTATGCTGACACGGCCAAGGGCCACAAGAAAAAGCAGTGGTGACATTCAAAACCAAACAGAAACCAAACCAAAGCTCCGTGCACTGAACAGAGCATTGCCATTCTCAAGTTCTGGGGAAGATTCTTTTTCTTTTTTTGGATAGTAACTCAGCCTCGGTGTAAGTGTAGGCCTCTGGGCCCCAGGGTGCAGTTATGTAAAAGACCTGAACCTACGTAGCTGGTTAAATTAGCACTAATCACTAATAATTACAAGGCAGGATACCTGCTGAGGTCATTGAGATCCACACGTAGCGCACTGTACGCTTGTCATTCCTATTTCAAAAGCAAATTGCCTTTTACTTCTTTGGATTAACTGAAACTTCCGGGTCATTTACAACACAAATTAAGACACTGATGGTCCTTCTACAGAAACTCTTCAGTGAGAGCACAGTTACCCTGGATGCCAGACCACCTCCTTGCTATCACAGGTGGCACAGCAGGCAAGGAGTGCACCCACAACAGCTTTTATCTGCTGTAATCTATGCTCTGTTTCCCAGAGTAACAAACTGCCACTTGCCCATATTGCACTCGTGGAATGTGGCGCAGGGATGCTCAGAGGAACACAGTGCCCTGTCCACACAAAAACCCAACCATTTCCTCTGGAATGAGTTGCATCCAGTGGGGCAACACAACATTGCTTCGACTGAGCAAACCATGACCAGTTCCAGGATGAACACCTACAGATACACAGTAAGAAATGCATCAGCAGTTACCCATCGATCCCTTTGAGTATTTTCAAATGCAACTTAGCTGACTTCAAAACAACCCCTGAATTTCTGTACTCGGAATTCAGTGTTCCTTTGTTTCTTTGTATTAAATAAATGCTTCAGACTTGCTGCTCAGTTCCCCACGACACTACTGAGGACTGATGAGCTGAATAGGACTGACACTGGATGCTCACTGGGTTCCATGTGCAAGGTCAGAGTTTAGCATCACGCGTGGGTTGCAGATGAACTAGTGGAATGCAAACTAACTGGCAAGACTACAAAGTTTGGTTCACTCTCTGAGAAAGCAGAAAATCTGTCAGAGAGGCTGTTTTAAAACACTGACACATCTGCTCTGGAGTCTGGTAGCTGGCAGGAAAAGAGATGTTACCCCCTCTGCAGCAGCCTGGCTCCACGTCACCCCTGCACCATAGCTTCCTACCGGGGTCCTTCTCCCTTTCAGTGGATGGGACAAAGCATTTGTTCCACGCTCCAGTTCAGGTAGTAGGAATCTGCAGTCAAGGACCAGTGCTTCACAAAGTGAATGGTGACAAAGCTGAGGCCTGAAGGTACAGAACCTAGAGAGCTTAAGCACCTAAAAAGTGACCCCAATTGAAGAGAATTCACAAAAAAATCTTATTTTCATTATAATTTTAATAATATTCTTTTGCAAAATGAAAATGAGAAACTAGAAACGCATAAATAGGCAATACACATAGCCAGTAATGATGCCTTGTTACCACCGGTGTCCTATTCACACATCTCGTCCTCTGCTATGGGCTATATGTCAGTATAATACACATTTGAGGAGGATAACTTTTCCTTTTGCATACAAACTGGTAAAAACTAGATTGAAGCTGACACTATATGGACGTCTGAAAAAATGGAGAAAAATCAGTTTGTCTTCTCCTGTGCAGCAGTACCTCGTCTTGGTACAGCTCATAGAATCCAAAGTGGTGAGCTCAAAGTTACAAATACCTTCAGTCTCCTTGCTTATGGTGAGAGGTACAGTCCCAACGTACATCTGCTTGGCTGCTATAAAAAGAAATAAAACCTCAATTGATTTTGCATAAGCACTTCTGAGAGCGTATCTCAACCTGATACATCGTGCTCGAAATACTGATCTTTACCATTGTTATAGTAAAGCACATACAATGAACAGTCACAGGAGCTGCCCATGCTTAATGTATTAAAACCCCAGTCATACACCACAGAATTGCTGTATTCACACAAAATCTTAATGGCAAATTTATAGTCTGTCATCTTGACCTCACCTGACTACGGAATTTCTTCATTTTAACTTTTAATGAGATCCATACGAAGGCCAGAAATTACATTTCTTGGTTCTAGTATTGATTTCTGTGTTAGCAAAGCAACTGTTCAAACTGTAATTACTTTGGGATGACCTCATTCCTAACCTGAAATGCTAGGATGAACACAGTGTGCAATGGGCAGGCACTGCACAAGTGGAATGGAGACGTTGACCTCTTTTCAGTATTTGACCAGAAACCATTCAATGCCAAGCCCTGGCCTGTGCAAGCAACCCAGTCTCAACGAGTTTATTCCAATCTTTCCAGACCATTTCACTCACAAGCTGCTCCTGAAGAAAGTTCTGAGTAGCACTCTTAATAAAAGATATAATCTCAAAATGAATGCAATGTCAGAAATAGACAGCATATATTACAAATCTTTTTCTTGATAGGAACAATTCGTAAGAATACATATTAGCTTAAAAACAGGTCAGCAAATGTTGCTGATCTGCAAGAAATCTCAGTTTACTATTTACAAGTAAGACAAAGTGAATACAGGAAATTTTACACATTTGGTAGTTAACAGATTATTGTTTGCCGAGCAGTCTATTAGAAACTGATATTTAGGAAGACTGGAAAAACACCCCAACCAGTTATTACCTCTTTAAGTACAGAACATGAGATAACAAATGCTGAAGACAACATTCTGCCTCGTTAGGGGGACCAAGAACAGATGATACAACTCAGGGGTTTGTGCCATGAGGACAGATTTGTAACAAACACACCCAGCCCTACCGAAAAGCAATCGCTGCAACCAGCTTAGTCTCAACCTGTCAAGAACTCACACTCCTACAGTCGCCAATGCAGAACAGTTTAATGATGGTTTGTTTTGTTTTGTTTTGTTTTTTCTTTTGCTGTACACAAAATGTAGTAAAGAAAGTCAAATTTAGGTAACTGGATCAACACGGAAGATCAGTTATTCACAACAGCATTTAAATGAGATGATGAAAGCAATGACCCAACACGCATTTCAGTTCACACAAAGAGGGGATCTGGGGAAAATTGCTTACAGTTTTACATGATAGTCCAGCATGAAAGTAACACAAAGCAACTGTATTGGTCCAGTCCTGCACAACATTTTACTAAGCCGTCTCATCTGTACATGGAACATCTCTTTTCAAATCTGCTTCTCTTCAACATTCATCCACCTCTATCTGAGACCAGGATGAGTTTGTGTCCCCTCCATCAGGAAGAGAAAGGAAATAGAAAATAGCCAAGGGAAAAAAAAAAAAAAAAAAAGAAAAAACCATCAAAAATTTACAATAAATTTTTTCCCCTTCTGATGAGAATACCTTTCTGTACAAGTGTTTTTGTACTCTAATACTGTTTAAAAAGCTATCAGCTTCTTCAAGACGGCCACCATAGGCATGGTAATATTCCAGGAACACTTAAATAACAGTTTTTACAATAAATTCAAGGTCCATATAATTAGATTACTTTATATGCACTGGTCTCTCATCTGATTTTAGGCGTTTCCTACGTGGCTGTATAAAATCTTCATCGGAGTCCTCAGTTATTTCACCATCATCCTCTTCCTGCTCAAATTCAGGCAAAGGCTGGAAGGTCCTGTCTGGGTAGATCTCTGTAAGTTTATCTTCAAAGTATAATGCAACTGCCTTCCCTGCCTGTGCTACTTCTGAATCAGCCTGTAAATAAAAGAAGACAGGAATATTCACCTGTTGGAAATGCACATCCCTTCACCAAGTGTGCATGGTCTAAAACGCTTACCTTCAAATTAATCTCTTGTGTTTCTGCATAAACTTGAACAACTTTCATCATCTAAAAAGGATACCAGAGTCAAAAAAAATGAAATTATAATCCTTCCTAAAGTTATGAGATTGCATAGGCTTGGATGACTACAGTCAGCCATAACAGGAAAACAGTTTGTTGTGGACTACACCTCTTTAGTTCTCAAACTTAGTGGAAGCAAGTTTAAAACAGTCTTAAGAGGGCAACATGGGGTAAATAAACCTTTGGTAAAACACAGTTTTTTACAAGTAAATGGCTCCGAGTCATTTTATAAATTGCACACTACTCATGACTGCTTTCTTCATTACAAACTCATGCACTATCATGGAAAAGTCTCAGTTCAATCTGACAGTTAAGTGTTCCATAAGACTGCTTTCTTGGGAGCATACTCCACTTCATTTTTCCTTAAGAGAATATGGCTTAGAGGCACTAGACCTGGTGCTGCTCAATATTAGAGTTAATGTGACTCATCTTTTGCCATTAGTTGGAATTTTAAACAGAGAGACAAGTCTGAAAGACCTTTTTTTTAAAAAAAAACATCCATCAGTCCTTGCTCCCTGGTTTTACTCTTGCCCCTAAGAGCTGTAGCATGTTTTCCTCTACAGTAGATGCTCCATTAATTCCCTTGAACGAGAAGTTCACATAATTGCAACTTCTTCCACCTAATGCAGAGACACAAGGGAGTCAGGCTGTCAAAGTCCCAAATGATTGTAATTACAGCGTGCAGCATCACAATCTAAGAAGTACTTCAACTTGATTTTCACTAGTGCACTCGTGAAGCAGTCAAGATTTTAAATATGTATCTGTGTACTTCAATTTAGCTCTTCACACAGCCAGAAATGTTGCCCAAATACTGCAAAACTTGCATTTTACAGAAGAAATATCAACCATTTGATGGATTTCTAGGATCACAAAGAAGCCATTCTTGGCAATGCTTTCTTTCTAGGGCTTTTTGTGGTCTATCTCAGAAATGCCTGGCTTTTTTTTAGCAACTGCTCTGTTGCAGTACACCACCACAGATGGTTTTGATGTTCAGAATCTTTTTTCCATTGTTCCAACTCATGATAGCACCCTTATGGTGCATCTCTCCAATTCACATCCCACTCGCAAGGTGCAAATATTTCACTATCAGATGGCTTCACTGCAAAGTCAGTCACATTTCCACAATAAACTCCACACCAAAGTCACCTCCTGAGCACTAGTTTTTATGATAGCCCATCTACCCATGAGTTAAAGCACTAAGGATAGACACTAGGAATAATGAACAATTTGCTGTTCTGGATTCAGCCTGCATCTGACACAAAAACCAGTACAGTATCTGTCAAAGCAGCACTTTTTCTCAGCATTTTACTCAATAGATACAATTCTACTGTTAAGTCCTGAGTTTAAGAACAACACTCTGTACAGTTTGAGTCATTTTAAGGACTTTAGATCTCCTTATCTAGCTGAAAATAAGAGCTAGTTCTGTAATTGCATAATTTTTCATTATTTAATGAATCAGCACCTGCTCCATAATAAGAACTTTACAACTGGAAGCACAGCTTCTACTTGGAGAAGCTTCAGAACCATACTGAAATAAATTAGAAAAAAATAAATAGATGAAAACAGATTGGAAGTTAACGTACTTCATTAAACCTTTCACAGTTCTTGAAGATCAACCTGACATCAGCCACAAAGTCCTCGGGAGTTTGGTAATGCTGAGAATGCTTCTTTTGCAGTTTCTTTTTCACTGTAGATAAATCCATTGGCTTCTTTATTATTTTGTAGTAGTTTGGTATCTGTGAAGAACAAACAATGATTTGTCACTACAAGGGCAACGCAGCTCTCAGAAGCACTAAATGTCTTTGCTTCTCAAAGTATCAGCCAGATAATACTGTCATACATAGTATGCATGTGCACTGAAGTGGGAACAAGTTCCTTTCCTCAAACTTTCTAACAACCTCTTCCCAAACTTCTCTACCTGTCACAGAACAGCAATACTTTGCAATACATTTGTTAGCCTTACAACTGAAAATGGAAAAGTCAAAATAGTTTCTCTCATCCCTTAAGATTGTTTAATAAAAAATTTTTTTAAAAGTTCTTCTAAAGTTTCTTGTAACATTTTGAATGTAATGAGTATCCTGACAAGCCCTCCTTCAAGTCAACAAGAGTAACTTTAAATATCAGGGCTTAGGACTGAGGCTAGAGCTTTTGCACAGACAAGCTACAGAATCAGCTTCTGTATCCTTCAGAATCATGAAATTCTGATTGATTTAGACTGATCAAGGGGACCTGCTTCAAGTAGAAGCAGTTTGTTCCATCCCAAACTCACCTCTAGCCTTACAGAGATGCTATGATAAAAATAAATCATAAGCTATTTCAAAAAAGGAACTCACCGAGGCTGGGACTGGCTCCTGAAATTCAATGCTCAGCTCATGACAATACAGGTAAAGCAGGAGACGTTCACATTTCTTACAAAGAAATAAACAGCTTCATGTTAACATCTTTAATTTATCCTTGGTCCAGAAGTTTGTATTTCCTAATTTTAAATGGGTTTGTACTTTGTACTGGAAAATTGAAGTACGATCTCTACAGATTTATAAAATGTGAAGGTCCTTAGGAGGGCATTGGAGGGGGGGGCAGGAGTAGAACACCATCTTACTGCTCACATAGCAGGGATATACTCCCCTTTTGCTTTCTTCTTCCAGCCAGATATCTAAGGCTAAATCAAACATGTGGAGGCACACTAATAGAAAGTCAAATTAAAAAAACCCAATCAACTACAATCATATTTGCCCAAAGGTAACTGCAGACTCAGTTCAGACTTTTCTTCTTTCCCTGCTCAAATGTTTTTCTTTCCTTTCCTCGTAATTCCTTTGCAGGAATTTGATTTGATAATACCATAACACTTTGTGCACAGGCTGACTGATAAAGCTAAAAATAATTATGCCAAGGTCATTATACCTTTCACAACAGAGCAACAGTTTGTAGCATCTCTCACAGCATAAATGTAACATGCCAGGCTCACGTAACTATTTGCAGGGAAGCTGTATCACTTTTAAAGCCTACTTAAAACACAAAGAGATTCATGTACATTAGAGGATGCATTTAGATGGAAGTTTTAGCTACTGGATTACTGTAGTTTCAGTGTAATGGACAACTTCCAAACAGTCACTAAGACCAGGACATGTGCTCACAAGCAAGATAATCTTATTAATCATTTGTTGCTTTGTTAAACCTGTTACTGTAATTAATTTGCTGCAGTCAAGGCAGAAATACAGTGAGAAATAGCGAGGGACAGGTAACATCAGAAAGCACTTTTTTTCCAAGGAACTGATTCCTACAAATCTGAGACATACCCTTTGGTCCACAGGACTCAGGCCTTGTGCTGTTTTCCCTTTCTTGCTGTGTTGCAAGTTGTCACAATCATATTCTACTTCTGGTTTGCTTAGATCTCTGCAGAATGTACATATCCAGTCTCCACTGAACAGAAAAAAAAAAGCTCATCAGTGCTGACCACAAAAGAGTTTTTCATTGGCTCTTACAAGTCACACTGTACAATATTAAAGACTTGGATATGTAAAGATAGGGGATAACCCATAATGTTCAAGGTAAATACCCATCAGGGACATTTTTCCTGCCCTCGTGTTCCTCTCCCAAGTATGCTCAGATACTTCAAAACCACTTCCTCATCAAGACTTAAAAATGAACTTTCCGTAACAGAATCACACTTTGAGAGATCATACTTTCATCAAATAAACATTCATCAGTTATGTGAAAACCATCCAGGCATGCCTTTAAAACGCCAAATTTTTTACTACAAAAAGTCATGCAGAGCTGGCAGATCTTGAGGAGTACCAAAACCTTTTGGTACCATCTTGAAATCTGTCACGTGACTGAGACCACAGAGATGCTGTCAGGAACCAATTCACTGTTTCTGGTTCTGGTACCTCGGAAAGCTGAGGAGTGTTGGAACATGACAAGTCAGGTGAAACACTTTGGGGCACTTTTCACAACATAACAGATCTCCTCCGTTTTGGCATACAGCACACCAGTCTTCATTCGGATCATCATCCTTATTACTGCCTTCTCCTCCAGTTCTAGCTGATCGGTGCATTAGGCTCCGCATGGGGGATTTTCCATTGAGAAGGCCATGCCCAGACTGTTTGCAGCTTTCACTCAAGTCTCCTGGCTCAGTTTTTACGTGATTTTCCAGACTTCCTAAGGCTTCCAATTCACTTTCCAGATGCAAGTTAGTGGACAGTGGTGGTGTCAAGCTGCTCTCAGGACTGCTAAGCTGAAATGAAAGTAGCACAGGAAAACCTAAGAGTCAGTTTAACAAGGGCATCTTTCCCCTTACATTGCAGTGTATCACCCACCATTTAAAAGTACTACACACCATCTGCACAAGTAAGCAGCACATCATTCTGTGGACACGAGACCTGAAACCTACTTTTTTTTAAGTCCAACCTCCCAAGAACAGACTCATTTCTACTAACATGCTAAATGATAAACTTTTATTTATGCTCTGATTGACAGCAAGATGTCTCAGTACGAATACATACATATGAAATCCTCATGATCTCCTACTAACAATGGGTTACTCATAGCTTTTACTAATTAGGGATTAAAAGCAGCAAATGCTCTACACTTGCTGGGCAGGTTTTGTTTTGATAACTAATAAATCTTACATGCAGACTAAGCTACATCTGTTGGATCTTAGTATCAACAGATAAAGTCCTAAACGCAGGCCAAATCAAAATAAAGTTCTAACTCTTCTACTGAACTACTTCCAATAAGCAACCATCTAACACAACACACAAAACTTTTGAAGGACTGGGTATGATCTGCAGCCATATCACTACATCAAGTCCTGTCCCAATCAGCAAGGGAAGTATCTGCCATCATTTAATGTTTACCTAAGACAGCAAGTCACTGCACGACTGCCAGTGCCATCCTATTGGTATTTATGTCACAAATCTCTAATAATTAAGAGCTTTAGCAGTGCTACAAAAACAATTCAACATTAGAGCTGGCCCACACTTAATGTTCAAAGACACATTCGTGAAGTATATATATATACATTATATATATACATTATATGTATATAAATATATACATTATATATATACATTATATGTGTATATATATACATATATATATATACACATTATATATATATACACACACATTTTTATATATTTTTATATATACATATATAAAAGATATATTTTGTGAGCAAAATATCTCACCGTCTTCAGAGGCTGTTAAAGGGATAATGAAGACTAAAAGTAACACTGCTTTATGATTTCAGGATTCTTAACCATGCTGCTAGGAATACTATAAAATACTGCTTCACAAACTAACTTTACCATGCAAGCACTCCTTCTGCCATCCTCTGTTTTCTCCTGCTTTACTGTTCCTGAGAAACTGCATATCTCTTCCTCTGTCCCCGGCTCTTGCTTGACTTTTACCTGGTCAGACTTGAAGTTAACACTAGTTTTCTCAGCAGTTCTGCCTGAGGAGCCACAGCTAGAAAGATATGGACACATAAATAAGAGGAAAATGCATTAGAACAAAGAAATTGAAGTGTGCCTGAATGATTTCAAGGCAAAGCGTGTCACGATATTTACAAGATACGAGCCAGCAGAGAATTGCTTTAAATAAAAATCTCCCTCCTGTAAGCATTCCCCAGTTACTGGGTCACGGTTACAATAAAGCCCTATTGACCTTTTGCAATTCACTTTTTGACTCCTCTGTCTGATGGCAGCATTACTGCCACATACTCACCTTCCTCTGCTTCCTGTGCTGGAGGTACTAGGTGGCCTCACAGGAGTGTGGGAGTTGGATAAACCTGAAAAGAAACAGCGTAGAAATCAACTTGGTACAAACATACTGAACAACACCCAACAAAAATGGGTTGCAGTAACATAAGACAGAAACATAGCACAGACAGATCAGTCTGTATGCATATCTGGAATGCTGCATTCGTATGATGGCAGCTTGTTACCGTAAAGATATTTCTCAAGGAAAGTTAAGTTCCCAGAAGAACTTTTTTCCGAGAAAAAGACAATTTTTAATCTTACAAAATATCACTTTCTTCATGGCAGGAATTGATAGAAATACCCATTGCCTTTACCTGATGACCCTGGAGATAGAGCTGAAGGTCCTGGGGAAGGATTCATGGTACTTGTGGGTTGTGGGGGTAGATGGCTGCCTGTGATATATCTGCTTAAAAGGTTATCCAAATTACTTGAACCAGCATCCTCAAGCTGAAAGGCAAAAACAAGAATTTGAATCAGAGGCCTAATTAAGTTTCTGCATCTTTACACTGCGATCAGCATCTTCACTGGAATTGATCACCATCTCCTCAAGGAGTTTGGGCATCAGCAAACACTTTTCTCAGTTCCATACAGAAATCACTCTGTCCAAACAGAATCCCCTACTTAAAAACTCCATGTAAGATTTTTCAGAAGCCCCTGATTATCTGAGTTCTTCCACTATGGTCAGGATGTGCAATTAACATTAGGCCATTCCAGACTGTCTTGATTCCCAGATGTCCAGTGTGTTAATCATACAAGTGCTGTTAGACTAATTAATTAGCTTATTACTAATGCTGCAAGAGTGATTCCACAATTACGATATTAAGAGAAATCATGAACTTGTTTTTCCTTAATATGATGTGAATTCTCCTCCTGCCATTCATTCTTTTTTTAACATGCATTTTAGACACTACTACAAACAAGGGAAAAGACACCCTGTTACTTTAACTACAAACAAGTGACCTACCAAACAACAGCATAATTTTGAACAATGTCTCTGAAACATATTTTATTCAAAGTGATTTTTTATGTCTGAAAGCAACTCTGAAAGATTAAGCTTGAAAGAACTGGATAGGTTTCTTTCATTAAGCAAAATCTGTAACAGCAATTATATATGAATATAAATATAAAAAGATATTTAAAAAAACCCAGCATCTTTATAGTATTCTGTGTTTTCAATGCACTTAGAAGCTGCGTGTTTATGTTTTAGAAATCACTATCAATTATTCTAACTTGATATACAAAACTTCTGATGGGGTACAGCTGGTCACAATCAGTTAAACTGCTTTTTGTTCTGCCTGAACAGAGCTTCAGCACTACTAATCATTCACATTCAGAGATGCGAGCCTTTCCTTTTGTTGCTCTGATGTTAGTTAGTAGCAAACATTACCTGCAGCCTCATCAGAAAAACAAACACAAGGCCCTCAAACCCAACTCTTTCAGATTAAATTACAAAATTATTAGTATTACAGCAGATGCTTTGAAATTAAGATGTGTTTTTAAGCAGGTTGCTTCCTGTACAGTGACAGACCATCCAGGCAGCAGTGGTCACGCTGCAGTTCCAGGCAGACACCAAAACCAAAACTCCAGATAAATCTCTGTTTAAGTTATTGTAGCACCCAGCATTGCCACAGGCCAAGTATACCAGCCCCATATAGTCAAAAACAGTTGTACATCCAAAGCCAGGGCTAAAGACTTCAAATATGTTTCAACTTTAAATAATTAAACCATTCCACAAACACTGACAACCAAATAAGATGAAGAAAGCATAATGGCTCGGTCTTCTCCACTGACCTGGATGGGTGGGATATCTGGCAGGGAAGGTAAATTCTCTGGATTTGTTACGGAAGGAATGAGTTCGATTGCTGTAACAGACGGACTGGTTGGGCCACGGTTTGCACTTGCCATTGTTGCTGTAGTAGGACTAGTTGGATTAATAGTGTTGTTGTGCACAGAAACAACTGGAAAAGGCCCCGCATGCCCAGGGTTAGAATGCTGTAGGAAAAGAGAAGAGACAACGACTGCATTAGAGACAAATCCTGTAGCCAGCCTGCATGTAAAATCACAACACGTGCACTGTATGGCAGTCCTCAACACAAATTTAGTAATGGAGGGGGATGGACATAAAATCAAATTCCTATCAGTGTTACCTGACAGCACTGAATGCAAAGCAACTGCTATGTATGTTCACTTGGAAAAACAAGTGACCAGATCTTAAATATACAGTACAGATTTGTCCTGAATTTCTGACAAATTATTCTGATGTTATTTCCTTGAAGTAATGACTTCCTCCAGAGGACTCTAGAGTTCATGTATCTATGTACAAACACTAATTGTTCCAAGTCATTTTGGCTTCCCAGTCACATTAGTGTTGATGATAGAAGTTATTTTTAACACCATATGTTGCTCAGCACTGTGCTTCAAGTTTGAATTTAAAAACAATTCAGAATGTGGTTTCTTTAAAAGCCTCTAAATCACATCACTTCCAATTTCACTATTCCTGACTATTCCTTAATAAATCCCAAAACTGAATGCCACTAGAAAGTGAAAAACTGCCATGTTTTGTTCCACAGAACTAAAATGCAGTACATTTTAGTAACACAAAGAAGCAAATTCTTTTCAATTTTAATGTTTTAAATTTTCTTACATTCAGTAGCAAAAATGTCACAGTACAGTATGCAATATGACAAAGCATATAAATATGTGTAGCTGTGAGTTATTAAGTTACAGATAAACACATTTAAAGCTGGAGGTATCATCTACTGTAATGAAAGTTTGGCACGATGGCACAAATGAAGCGTGTACACAGGATATACTTGTCTTTGAAGGTGAGGTTGCATCATGGAGTATTGTGGTCCATTGTGGCGTGGTATTCCTGGTATACGAGCAGCATTCTGAGCCATTCTCATCTGATGTGCTTGGAAAGCCCCACAGTTCATGTTACCTCTCTGCATGGTCTGCATGCTGATCAACCTGGGAGGCTGCAAGGGTTTTTGTTTTTTAAAATTTTTGCTTTTAACATGGAAACAAGAAGCCGATTTCTTTCCACAGAAGTAGGTTTACTAGTTACATAACACCAAGAAAGGCCAACAGTTGTCATACTTAAAGCATGTCAAACTTCAAAAGATTTTCATGTTTATAAACCGTTTTGTTTTGAAAGGTCATTTTTTAAGTCTCAGTGTTATGGTGAAACGTGAAATAACAGCATACAAGACACTTGCCTGCTGCTGTAAGACTTGAGGGTTGGTTTGTCTGGGAACTGACCCAGATGGCTGTCCCATCCTCATCTGCTGCAATTGCTGATGCTTTTGTGCATACACCTGCTGCTGCATGTGCTGAAGTCGAAGCTGTGCTAGATTGATTTGTCCTGGAGCTTTGTTGATGTGGTTTGTCCCCGGAGGAGCTTGTCCAACCACTACATTAGGAGTGTAACTAGGAGCTGGCTTATTTTCAATAACAAGGTTACCTGAAGAATAAAACAAAAGGAGAACTAGTGAACAGTTTCACTTCCATCACCATCCAAAGGCCAATAAATGAAAAATGATTCAGATGTGTCTAACTGATGTCCCACAGGGGCAGTAGCAAAGCAACTAAGTTTGAAATTTTCTCATTAGGCCTTCAGAAACCACACATGAGAAAAGCAAAAAGAAAACCGAAGAACAAGAAATTACAGAACTAAAAAGGAGGAAAGACTAAAAGAATGTAACTGCAAAGCTTCCAAGACAAGAAAACAGACATAACTGTTCTTCATGTTCAACATAAACACGCAAGACAAGAAATTTAAAAAGTCATAACAGGGAAAAAAAAATAACACAGTGAGAATGAAATTTCTGTAAGTAAGGAAGCAAACACTGGGAAAAGATGCTGGAGACAGTGGATAGCATCCCATCACTGCATGACTTTAGCAGCAAGTTACGCTAGAATGGCACAAAGCACTGCTAAAGCTGAGCTCTGTCTCGATATGGATCATATTGTCTCTAGGTATCTCCAATCCTCTCACTCAGTTGTTCAAGTATCACAGAGTAAACACTCCAAGTTTTCTCACCTAAATTGACAACGTTCTTTGCCCAAAACGTGGGGTCACAATGAAAGCGAATTGCTCCGTTGGCAGCTGGGACAGGATCACAACGTGCCTTCAAAATATGTCGTAACTGGAATGTTATCTAATGGAAAGCAAGAACAAGAATGTTCATGACAACAAAGTAATGTTAAGAAGCGTGCATTTGCCCACTGAGTTTAAACTGCTGGATCACTATGAAGGACTATAATTAGCATGTCTGGTTAATAGCAAGGGAAGCATTCTGTTCACTGGCAAAATCAACCACTGTACAACAAATGTTTTACTGAACCCAAAGTATTATGGCAGTACTGCTACTCAATTTCTACATGACTCAAGTGAAACACTGAGTTGCTTTTACAGAGCTCTACCCCACTCCTACAACAAAACTATTACGTCCTTAATTTACAAATGAAACTTGTTCTACAAGTTGTAAAACGTAGCCCATTGTGATACTAGTGGCTGTTTTGTTTTGTTCCTTAAACGGAGTGCAGGTAAGTCAGTTTTTCCTCCTTAGATACAATTTAGAGAAGCTACAAAATATTTAGGAAGTTCTTTTAAGTAAACTTTCTCTGTACTGCACAGACAAGTGGGAAGATGTTTCCTTACCAGCCGTTTACTGTACAGCAAAGCAGTACTGCTGCCACTTGCAATAGCCCAATTAGTAAAGTTCATCACATGCTTCACTTGTCGAGAAAGACCAGTGATGTCATTTTGCTGTTGTATTAACTTCATCTGTCTTTCCTTCGTTACATTCTGTGAAGAAATAAAAACCTTTATTACAATGGAGATTTCAGATTTAACAGGTAAATATAAACTGCTATCACAGTTCTCATAACAAAAAACTGCAGCAAGATAAGCTTATACTAATGCTTATATAAACTAAAACCACAAGGAACAATTATTTATTACTGCAGACTATCAGTCTTTCCATGTGTTTCAAAGTGCAGGGAAAATGGCTCAGATAAGAGCTTCGTTCCTGTTTTATCACAGCGAAATCTCAACTACTGAAACCAGACCAGTTCCCTCTTTCTCATACTGCCTCTCACATCAGCATGACAGGGATGTGAGGAGTGATCCAGATAAGTTGCCAACAAAACAGCCAGCTCTGTACTGAATGGAACCCCAGCAGCAGGAAGTGACAGCCACGGGTGGCCAGCACTCTGCAACCAGCTTCCTATCCCAACCAGAAACTGCCTCTAAATACCTCCTGAATATGGCAGATAAACTCTGCAGCCCCACTTCTGCAATGCTGAGCCTTCCATGACCTGCAGTCACACCAAACAAACTGCTTTCAAACACAGAATGTGAGTTCTGGATGGGAGACTGGAAACAGGGAACCAACACTTATTTTCCCCCTTAACTGTACCTCAAGGTGCTGTAGGAGAGATTTGCCCTTTTTATTGATTTCATTGATGAGGGTGAATATAGCCACTTTGATTTCCTGTTCTACTCGTTTGTTAGTTTCATTTACTTCTTTTATCCTAAAAAAAAAAAGAAGAGAAATGCAATGTCAGGCAGACACTTTCTATTTTGCCTCTAAATCCAACTTCCCACCCTTGCAAGGTAAAGGAGCAATTTCAACATGGAAAAAGTTCTAATACGTGCAAAACTGACAGCATGCTTAATTTCAATCAGAAATAGCTGTTAATCAACTGGAAGAAGCCATTTAAAATTTCAGTTTGGGGAAAAAATTAAACAGTAAGACCTATATGTCATCTCAAATGGTCACTGTGTGTTTGACTTGAAATAACTGAACAGTCTTGGCCATTTATCTACTTCATATATTTATACACATGCAAACTCCATGTGTGCATCAACACAAATACATATGTCCATATTATGCTTCTCTCACTATGAAAAATTTGTGCATGATGCCTTAAAATTGTTGTGCTACTGTATACTAACCAGAAAGGATGTCATTCCTGAACTTGAAATGGACCCTTCCACCCCAAGAAAGTTTGTAAACAAAACTGTCATTACATACCTGTAAACAATAGCTAAGAATTCCTTTCACTAATGATTTGCCTGAAGTCGGTCTACATTCATCTCCTGCACTTTACTACTATGGCCTTTAAGTCTGTACACCTCACAACTCTTCATCATGTCCATTACTGTACTTCTTCCTCAGTTTAAGTAAAAGTCAAGCAAATTATGCTGAGTTCTGTATACAGAATTTAACCCTGACAACAACACAGTGCTGCACTGGGATTCTTTACTTTGCCTGTAGAAGGCACAGCCCCCTGCCATGAGCCAGTCTGAGTGTAAAGATTTCAAGTGTCCCTTTTGAAAGGGTTTTTCACAGCTACATCAGGAATCACAACTTGTAATGCCGTTCATCCTGATATGACCACAAAAAAACCAATGCTTTTCTCTCTGGTCATGGTCTTTGCTGGTGTCTAATACCCTTCAGCTCCTTGGACAAGCATGCCTTTTTATGATAGCACAACCTATTTCCTATTTAAAATCAAAACTAAATTAGGAAAAAAATAAATCACTAACCCTTCATTGACACAGCAGACAAAACATCCTTGTTTTGGCACATAGCAATAATTCCAGAAGTTATTCCATCTATGCTGTTTTACCCTTCTAGACCACATACAATGCCATTTTGAAACCCCTTGCTATCATTACCAATATTACTGTAATGCCTTTCCCCTGTAGCTTTTACTGATGGACCTCATGCTCCACACTTTGACAACGTAACTGAACAACATGTGAAAGTAAACCTCACTTGCATGATCCACTGGGCTCAGCAGTTAATCACAGCCTTTACAGAACCCAAACACACTGCAGAAATTCACTGCATTTTCAGTGAAACCAGAAACTTTGCCACAGGCAAAAAACAATAACAATTCCCATGCACTGTTACTGGCCTTGAATTCTTATCACAGAATTGTGTAACATCTCTTGAGCTTTCAGTTTATTTCTTTCCCACATATCTGGGTTTCTGTATCTCCTTCAAGCATGCACCAAATCCACAACTTGTCCACCTTCTTAGCCATTCTGGGTCTCCTGAAAGAGCTCCCAAGAGCAATTAAGTGCATGAAAAGCTTGGAGGAATCACATGCCCTCACTGTCTCCACACTCACACAAGGACTCTGAGAGCATGTATTTGCTCCTTTGTCAGTAAGGTGGTTCCCACGTCTGATGATCACAAATATTAATGCAAAAACGATAACCTTGATCTTAAGCTATTCCTAGAATTTATAGGCTGAACTACCAAAAGAAAAGCTTGTCTTCCTTTCAGATAAAATACACTAAGTTTTGCTTGGATAATAACAATAAAAAGGTCAACTTCCTATTTGCCTCCAAATCAAGCTTTGCTTCACAGTTCAGGAACAGCAACAAAACTCCCATATACAACAAATACATATTAAGGACTTGATTAGAGCCAAAACTTGTGTCACCTAGAGCTGAACTTAACAGAAACCCTGAGAGGGGTTTCACTTGATCTTCCCCCCCCCCCCAAAAAAAAACCTGTAGTCAATGTAAATCTTCAGTTCTAATCAAAGCTGCCATCATAAAAGATAACACCTTTGAAATTTACTTCATATAACAACTTCTTATAGAAGCACACTAGTTTAGAAAAGAAAACTTTCCAAATGTTTTAAAGTTCAATACAACTAAAGATACAGGATCAACTAACATGACAGTATCCTTCCAACCCCTTTGTTCATTAAGGAGGCAATCATAACAATTAGTCATTTTGTGGTATTTACCTGTTTTGAACTTGTGTAGCTGCAAAATTGACATAATTCTTCTTCTCAAGAAGTTTGGCCAACAGGTTCTCAATCGCACCCTTCTGGTTCTGGAAAGCTTCTTCTAGAAACTGATACCTTTTCAACATACAAAAGAAGATCTCAGTTAACAAGGACCAATAAGGATCCCCAATTTGGATGTAAAGCTACAGTGACCATCAAAATTTTGATAAAATATGACAGGTATGATAAAAATACAGAAATAAATGGGTTTTTATATACATATATATACACATACACACACACACATACACAGTTTAATTTACAAATAAAATTCTCTGTCGATGTCCAGAGGGACTGTATCTGTACGAGTGCCTCAGTTTCAACCACACAGGGAGACAATGCACTGCATCATTTCACAAGACAGCTGCCTATGGAAAACCCAGCTAAGTGACACCATTCAGAGTCTAACAAATGATTTTGTTAACACTAGATGAGGAAAATGCAGTAATAGTTATATTCTTTCATTAAACAATAGCCAACCATTTATGAACTGTTAATCTGTTAGCATCGAGCACAAACAGGAATGAAAAGAAACTAAAAGACTTGCTTAAGAAGAGTGCTTTTCAGAATATTTATGCTCAAGCCTATGAAAGAACGCAGCAGGAATACAAGGTTAATATTCTACGAGTGGTAGTTTAAAAAGTGAAAGTTCTCCAGGCTGCTCTAGCAATCTATGACACTAATCACTGCTCTGGAAAAAGAAACAAACAATCTAAATTCATGCTGTTGAGCACCTTCATAGAGAAGCGTTACTGGCAGACCAACTTGCTGATAAACGAGTATTTTTATCCCCAGATTCTCTATTATAACACTGCAAAGTGCTTTTTCAAACCTACGAGCAACTACATGACCAAGCTGCATTGAACATCTCCTAAAGAGGGTCAAACTTTTTTCTAGCAGCTGAGAGAAAAGTAAGCTCTGAGACAACACCCATCATGAAAATGATGCAATTTTGAATCATCTAAGGCCATATTTTTCTGTTTTTCCCCCCCACATTCAGTGATGATGTGAAATCGATACCTTGCCTTTAGAAAATTCACCCTGAACAGAGAGACCACCTTGTAACAAAATCCATGCTTTCAAAAACTGCCTCATCTGTTTGTCCTCAAACCATTTTTGCTTCCAGGTGTTCAGGGCTGCAGCACTTCCTATTTAAGTGTTTTATGTGTGTCATGCAAATAGTGACAGCACTGATAACCACCAGGCTGGGTAACAGCTTCACCACACCAAACCACCCCAGAGGACATTGTTCTGAGCCCAGTCAATCACACAGCTCAGTTAATTGATCACCTGAAGTTTTCAGCACTACACGCATGCTCTCCTTTGTGAGGAATTATGTCTGATGGAGAGATAACACAGCAGTTCAGACACAACTGTTTGAAATCAATAGTATTTCTTCCCCTGAGACAGAGCACCACAGGAGGTAAGACATGGTAATATTTGTACCTGTGTTCTTTGTGTTCCAGTAACTGACAGTCTCTGCATGTCAGCCTGTCACATGTTTCACAGAAAAGTTTTAACTGCTCTTGTTTGTGGACAGGACAGAAAACAGGACGTTGACCAGATGCTCCCACGGCCTCTGTTTTTAAAAATAAACCATTTTTGCATTTTAAAATAAATTTAAGACAATCTGAAGTGCAAAACTACCAACTTCCACACTAAGTAAGTACGAAACAAGAATTCAAAGACAACCTGTTCTCACCCTGAAGTAATTATGGATACATTCTTATTGAAATAATTGCAGTGCCAGTGTTCTGCAGCTGTCCCCACTTTTCTTGTATTCAAAATGAAAGAGGAATTTCTCTCCCCATCAAAACTACTCCGAAGACACTGCTACCTGCAAAGACTGTTGGTATACACACTTGGATTTCATACCCACATCAACAGATGAAATTCCATGCAGAGTCACCTCTGACACTTTACAGGGTAGACTGAACTTCTCCAACTTTTATACTGTCAGATACCCATAGATCTTCCAAATTATCACTTCAAAATCTTTACAAAGCTCATTAAGTCATAAGCAACTGAAGTGGTAAATGCAGAGCAAACATTACTGTGGGTCATAAAATTACTTAAGCCCTAACTAAAGCAGGGGACTTTTCCAATTAAACACATCGATACTGTTGAAAACGTTTCTGAAGTCATTAAGAAAGCGCTGCACGGTGCTGTAAAGCTTTTTTGAGCTTGGCACAGAGAAAAGGAGCTTCTGGAAGGCACAGCAGGTAAGGTTTAAAACAAGTAAACGCATTGTAGTCCCAAAAATGTTTGAAGATTGTTACAACATGCAAGTTATGGTAAAGAAAGAGAGCTCATGAATCAAAAGCTGACGCTAACTGAATGCTCAGGTCTCTGAGGATATTGCACAGCCTAGAAAGCAAGAAAGGAAAAATCTCTGAGCAAATAATGAATGGCCAATCCTCACGACCAATAGAGTTACTAAGGAAAACTGTGTGCCAAATGTAGGCTACATTCCTGCCATATGGCCTTGCTATCAGATTCCATCTTCATAAAGAACCTTATTGGAACAGTCACTTTGGGGCACACCCACACTCAGGTTACTGAAGTGTACAGGGGTTAGATTATCACCCAGATGGCCACAATACAGCAGTCCTAAGGAAAAACATTACTAATTCTTTGCAGAGTTCTCTCATTTGACTCAACATTAATTGGTTATTGCTTACTAGGATTAAGACATTTAAATTTAAATAACCTTAAAAGTTTACTTGATACAACAAGCAAAACAAGATTGTTGTCCACAGGACATAAGCTCAACAGTAACAATTTTTAACTACTACTAAGATTTTGCCAAAAACAATGGAAGAAAGCAGTGCAGTATTACGACTCTGCAGTGGCACAACAGAACAATCATGAAGATCTTAACTAATTTTAGATGGAGAAACAGCAAATTTGAACCTATCCTCTCTACACAGTGAAAGTTACATTTACCTGCTCTGGGAATGTTTTCCCCAATGCTTCCATAGAATGCAAATGACACCATCAAATGATAGCTGAGGAATTAACTTTCCCTAATGAAGTTGCATGCTTCAACTGTACATTCCCTATGCACATTAATTTCTGCTAACCAGGAGATAAAACCTAAGAATGAATTCAAATTCCAATTGGCTCAACAACATCAATGCAACTGCAATATTATACTGAGTATGACTGTAAGCTTATCTGTATATACTTTTCTACTGGGTGAACTATAATTGCTCATTATAACCAAGTACAACAAAATATGATCTCATTTCCTTGGCCAGTGGATATAACCACCATGCTGTCAGTGCTTCCCAGATTCCAACCCCTCCACTTAGTTATTCCATTCATTAATTAAAAGGATCACTAAGAACTGATCTAAATTCTTTCCAAAGACGACAGTCTCATTCTGCTTCTTCTGTGCTGAGGACACTTACTACACAGAACATCAAACAGTACAAAGTATTAGTAAATAAGCCATTTCAGTTTAAAATTTAATTTTTCCTCTATTTTTAAAGCTACGAATTTTGCAATGATAGCATTTCATAGATTTTTCCCAAGTCTTTGAAGAAAGCTAAAGAGCTGGTTGGTACCCAAATAATCCTCCCCCTCTATATTCACATGGGCCAAAGAGAAAATACCACTCCTACAGGCAGGACTAAACGATATCCAAACACTCACCTGAAGATACATCCTCTTTTTTTCTGATCATATGATCTTTAGTAAATTTTACTCGCTGATGAGCTTCTATGCAAGTCTTGCACAACCATTCCCCACATTCTACACAAAATCCCACAGCACTAGCGTTGTCTTCACAGCTTGTGCACACCTGCAAAGGGAAGAAAGGTCAGCTGTCATCACTTTCCTGGGAAGCGTTAACATACACAGGAAAACAAACAGCACAGGAATTCTGGCAAGCAGAAAAGCACCGTACCTGTTCTGATTTCTCATCAGAGCTGCTCGGTGTTTCTGATGTGTCTTTCACAAAGTAGTTATCCACCAGATCTATCTGCCTGCATTCTTGGCGGCATATTGGACATCTGATTACCCCAACTGAAAAACACAAAATGTTTCTTAGTTATAGGGAAAACAAACACAAAATCCTCAGACTGCTCATTTCAGCAGTCACCAACAGATCCACAGCACTTTCAGCCAAGCTAAAGAATAGAAAGCCCTTCAAGTGATGCTCGAGAGAATGTCTGAGTACCAAAGCACGATGATATTCTCCCACCTACAACAGAGGCTATGTTCTAACACAGCCCATTTCCATCGGGTTGGGGAGGCAGATGTAACATCACGACTTACCTGAAGGTTTCAGGATGTTTTTTTTTCAAGGAATGTTCTACAGAGAAAGCAGAACTAATACCAAGTACCAAAAACGCTTCCAAGTTTCTACTAACAAGTCCTCTCAGGCCGACTGCACCTGCCTGTCAGCAGCACACCACCCATTTACAGACATACTCACAAAGTACACACACAGTTTTAACAAGAGGTAACATGTACATTAATTCCTTCCCCAGCGTTCTCCAAAAAGCCCACTTTGTTTTCTTCTGTACTTGCTAACTTACAGTTCTAAACCCTCAGCTCAACTGCAGAGAAGTCACTGCACGTACCAAACTGACTCTCAAGGATGTCCTAGGAACAACCTGCACAGATTTAAGCACCTGTTCACCACTCCAAAGGCACTTACTGCTTTCGTCCCAGAAATGCCATCCAGTCTTAAGTTCCTACATATTTTTGTTGTGAATATATTTTTCAAGAAGGTGCTTTCAAACTATCTGAGAGTTTTTGTACATTTGCATACCTGAAAGACTTTGAAAAGTAAATGCAATTGGACGACACTGAGCTCTTTGTGCATACTCAAAAAGAACACCAAATCTATTACAAGGAGATAAATCACACTGGTGATTAGCTGCCCTTGCCTCCTTCAAGCACGGTGAGCCACTCCTGCCTGCCATGCCGCCAGGACAGAGGGAGTTTCCCCAGGTCTGCAACAGGAGGAGTAACAAAGCAGCCCAAGTTAAAACAGACATGAAAGTAAGTCAGGAAGGGTACGACTGCAGTGAACTGAGGAGAAAAAGCAAAATCAGAACAATGTCTGCAACTTCATCCTGCAGCAAATCGCAGTGCAACTGAACAACATACAGAAGATTACAGCCCTCAGCTAACAGGGAAGCTGCCCTTTCCAGCCAGGCCTGCACTGAACACAGGGCCCAGCGTGACACCTGTGGCCTCAGCAGCTGCCATCCTCCTTGAGGACACTGATTGCAAAGAAACTGCTTACATTTTTTCTGTTGATGTTTACAACCTCAATTAGAACCAGCTCCAAACTCCACCAAATCATCCAGGAGCAATCCACCTTCCTCACCCCTCACTGCTGTTGAAGAGAACCCCACTTCAGATACCTGTTCTTAAAGACAGGTTGGTTTGGGCTGACACATGTCAGACTGGTTTCCAAAACAGAAGCACGAAGTTAATCGTGAGTAAGTTCAAAATCCTTTTAGATGTTTGCATTGCCCTAACGATGCTTCACTGCTCAGGAAATACTGGCAAGCACTTGTGCAATCCAGCAACTCAAACTTCCCTTCCATGCTCACCCTTGGCACGTAGCTGCATGCAGAGCAATGAACGCCTGCCATGTTCAGGGCATGAAAGCATCCATGGCAGTGACTGCACGTGCAAAGCACTCACATCCATTGGGAATTTAAGTGCTCCAACGTGTGTTTCTGAAGATGCAATAGTTACAAACTTTCCTCAGTGAAAACAGTTACTGTCAAGCTCACTTTAAGTGATACGTCACGTTTGTGTGGCTGTAATATCATTTTTATCTCCCCTCCCTTCCAAAGCTGATTAAAAATAGTTAGTGCATAATTTAAGATGTAATTTAATACAGTGTTTCTAAATACACAAACCCTGGGAATGGGATTTGAATTCAGCATCTCAAAATAATAAATCATTACGAATTGCAGCACTCAGCGTTAAATGTATTTTTCCTTGAATTACACATCCATACACACTGACTAATTTTCTGTTTCCTTGGCATTTCTGAAAGCAACTTGCAGCTCTTTTTCAAGCTTCCAGCCTAATGAAGGCTGGCTAGGTTGGGACATTCACAAGGGATTGGGAGAACCACACGTTCTCTCTACTGACATAATGTTAAGAGAGTATAAACAACAACCTCAGCAAAGCAGTGACACCTCATAGTAACCACTCTGCAGCAGCTCTGGGTGGGTAAGAAAGCTGCCCTACAGCCCCTTTAACATTCTGAAGTCTCTTAACTTAAAAATAAACGTTTTTTAATACTGTGATTAAAAAAAAAAAAATCACAACAGTGCATTTTCTTGTAGGGTGCTATTCAACCTAAAAGAAAGGGTACAGTTGGACAGATGAAACATCAGGCATTGAGAAATCACCCATCCACCAAATAAAGTGCACAAACCAATGTCCTAAAAGTAATTAGAAGGAGTATGAGATACTAGTTTACGTGCTAAATACCTAACATACATATTTAAAATATATAAAGCCACAACTCTGGATGACTGCTTTTATGTTTGGTCACTGTTTCTAAACTTTTAGGAACTGAAACCCTTCTTCTGTCTTCATTAGCAGCATCTCAAGGGAATGACAACAGGGCAGAGTAGATGTTGATGTAGACCACCAGCAGCTCCTGCTTCCAAGCATTCCTACTGTTCAACCCACCAGAACAGCAGCACAGTGCTGTCAGAGAACTGCTCTGTGTGTATCTGACCCATGCTCAAGCAGCTTTCACAGTTATTAGCCAATAAATACACACATTTATGATTTTAAGTACTGACAATACTTAGGAATAAAAACCTGAGACTAATTAAGAAAACAACCAGGAAACTATCAAAAGAACCAGTAATTTTCCATTGTGTTTGTGATTCTTTTATGTAGTCACAGGCACACAGAAAAATAGCAGGAAAACATGGATGCATGTAGAATAGTGCAGCACAGAGACGGCCTTCGGTTGCACATAACCCACTTCAGGAACAGCTACGTATATTATTTTCCAATAATTCCTTCATGAAGAAACATCTGCTCACAGTTAAGGATAATACAAATGTGGAAGTGGGATTCGTGACTATCCATCTATGCCAAGAGGGGGTGAACCTGTGAGGCTAAGCAAGAGGGTGCCCTCTCTACACTGAGAATGCCTGTTTTCACCTGATTTGCTGGTAAACATTTCATGTGCTGTTCAACTGATTGCATTCATAATGTGCTGTCCACAAAACTGCACCTCTGCAATTCTAGTCAGTCAATGTTTTGCTCTTTAGTGACCTGTTGCACTAACACGTTTGGTCGTGCAGACCAACAGACTGATTACAGACGGAACACACAGCTCCACCAGCGGGGATCCTACACACGCACCTCACTCGTGACATCTGTGAGGTCCTGATCAGGAGATGAACTCTTATCTCACCAAAGCACACCATCAAGCACTCTGACAATGTGGGTGACAAGAATTGAGGTTCCAGGTTATCAGTAACTCAGAAGAGAAACTCTGTGGTTTCACTACACCTGTACCCCAAGCAGATATATTCAGACAATGTTGCTAATTACTGCTACAACGAGCTTAACTTCACAATATCTTTCAGCACACACCATGTAAAACACAGAGCTTGGAACGTAGCAAGGGAGATCCCAAGATCAACCGAGTGCTTCAGTTAGTGCGTTTATAAACTGTGTTGGGAGCCTCGTGCTTGAGGAAGCGATGGACCTTCTTAGATCTACATCCCAGCTGAACTGCTTGCAGTCAGCACAGCCAGCAGAACCACCACAGCTGAGTTATTCCTCGTGGAACCATCTGACAACACATTGCTACGCAACCCAGAGTCCTTCCCAAAATTAGACGAGTGGCCAAACAGAGTCCTGCTGGCCACGGGACCGGGCTCAGACCTGAGGAACCACCCAAGGCTGCGGTTCAATCTCCTTCCATAGCACAGAAGGTAACCGGGTGCCACCCGCCTGAGCGCTGCGCTCCCAACGATGCACCCCAAGCCGCACCCTGGGGCACCCGGTAGCACCGCCGAGAAGGCATTATTTGTAGAACCGAGCAGCTCAGCACCTCTCAGAGCAGCGCCTCTAACGCAGCATCCCTGAAAGCCAAAACAAAAAGCACGGCGCGATTCGCAGCGCCGTTCCCCGAACGAGCAGATCGACTTCGAAGTTCCAGCTCTCACGTGGAAGCGCGACGCGAGAGCGCAGCCGAGAGCCGGGAGATTCCGGAGGATCGCGGCACCGCATCGCCGGCGGTCACGCGCGCAGTCCCCGCCGGCCGGGCTTCGGAAAGCGGCACACAACAGCCCCGGGATCGCGCCCGCCGCCCCGCTCACCTTGCTGCACGTCGCCGTTGGCGCCGCCGGGCACAGGCACGCTGAGCTGCCGCTCGGGCTCGGGCAAACAGCGGCGGCAGAAGGAGTGCAGGCAGGGCAGCAGTTTAGGCTCAGCCTCGCGCCGGCTCTGCAGGCTCTGCGCGCACACGGCGCAGGTGTCCAGCAGCGAGAAAGGCCCCGGCACCGCCGGCGTCAGCGGGGGAACCGGGCTGGGGCCCGGCCCCGGAACCACCCCGGGCCCCGCCTCGGCCTCGGCCTCCCCGACACCGCGCTCCGCCGCCGCCGCCGCGCCCGGGCTCTCCCGTTCCTCGGGAGGCGCCGCGGAGGGTGCGGGCGGCGCCGCGCCCGAGGGGGACGCGGCCGCGGGCTCCAAAGCGCCGCCGCCGCCCGGCCCGGCCTCGGCAGCCCCCTCCCCGCCGCCGCCGCCTCCTTTGTTTTCCGCCATGTTTCCTCCTTTGAACCCGACTCCCCGCTCCGCGCACGCACAGCGTCACAACGCGCCGTGCGCGCTCCCCAGCGGGAGGGCGGGTCCGGGGCTCGCGCAGGCGTGGCCGCCCGGTGCGAAGCGGTGCGCGGACAGACGAGAGGCGATGTCACGTGACGCGCCGCCGGCTAGAGCGCCGCGCGCGCCTCTACGAGCGCTCCGGCGTGAATGGCGATTGGCCGCTGCCGACGGCGCCCCCACGCGCGCGGAGGTCGCAGCCAGGTCCCGGCACGGCGCTGAACTGTCGTTAATACGCATCAACCACGTGGTGAGAGGACCAGCCTTTATTGGGCAAAGCAAAGCTTATTACAGCACAGTAGGAAATGCAAAAACACGGAGCAGCGGTCAGAAGAGAGCAGCTGTCAGAAGTCCTGCTGGATGTTCTCCTTGTTCGCTTCCCCGTGCTGTTGTTTGATTTGGGAAATCTCATTTTCTAGCTGCACAATTGTTCGTTCAATTTCGTAGTTCTTACTGACAAGAGACACCCACCTGGAAGGGAACAATTTTAAGAAAGCTGTCAGGTGTTACCAGGGCTTACAACACTCCTCTGATTCAAAATCAAAAGAGTGGGACAGCAAGTTGTGGCAAAGCACAAGGACACAAACAACCAGCATCTGTCTCAGTATGTGACACAGCTGACACCAGGAGTAATCTGAACAACCACGGTTAGAAAAAGATGTTTTCAACAGTTAAACTTCAACATGTAATCCAGGAAATGAAATGTCGTAAAGAAAAAGATGCTAAAAAACACTGATGTCCAATATTTTGATAAAGAAGAGTTTCAGAAACAATCCACACGAGAAGTTCAAGCTGCTGTCACGCACTGGGTCACCCATTCACAGTGACCATTACACAGAGCTGAACTATACACCCTCTAAAACAGTGCAAATCAACAGCAGCCATATGATGATCTGCTATGGCAGTACAGAAAAACTGATGATGTTCTCCATAAGGGAATTCTATACAGGAAACACTCCTGGAAGGGGTACCAAAAATTCCAGCTACTCACGTGGATTCCATTTCTCGTAGCTTAGCTCCAGCTGTGAGCTGCATGTTCTTTCGTTGCCATTTCAGATCCTGTATGCTTTCCCTGTGAAAAAAAAAAAAAAAAACAAAAACCTAGGTTTTTTTTTTTTTTTTTTCCTTCTTTGTCTCATTTATTCAAGAATGTTTAAATCTGCTGCTTGAAATTCACTGTCCTGGAAGTACCCACCAGGAAGCACTGGTGCAGCAGCATCTAACCACCACAAAATAGTAATACAACATTCAGAATCCCAACAGAAAATTAAAAACATCATTTCAACAAAGCACCTCTGTCCCTCAGTAATTTAGTAAACTTGCTAAAGCATTCACTTGAAAACAAAACCTAATATCAGGCAAGCTGAGCCAACTGCATGCTAAATAAAATGGTTATCAGCAGTGAAAAGGAAACATGATTGCATTTGAGAGAGGTCTCTACCACAATTCATTCTGCTCAAAGCAGAGGTTCAGACAAAAACAACAAAGAAAAACAACCACAGACTTTGAGTGGAATAGACGTCGTAAATGCAACAGGGAAGGATTGAGGGGAAGGTGAATCTTCTTTCCTTGGACCACTACAGCAGCATAAACATGGCTCTTTCAGAGCTGAGGGGGTGGGGAGTTTCTATATTCCTTCCAACTTCAGCATGAGGCTATGAAAAACCACTCACCGCAACTTCTGAAGCTCCTTCTGGGCTTGTTCTATCATATGAACCAGATGTCTAATAGCAGAATGGAAGCAAAGCACGAGAAAAACATACAGTTACTAGGTTAGACCCATTTAACCAACCTCTCATGTAACTATTCCAGAAGAGTTCAGCATGCAGCCATCCACTCAGGGCAAGCAGCACGCTTGTTCTCAGCACAGTCTGTGCCTTGCACTCCTGAAGGTTATAAGGTTATGGCAACTTGATAGCATTACAACATATGCAGCTTTAAGACAGACACCTTTAATAATCACTACATTCAACCCTTGCTGACAAGGGTTATAAGGTAACAGTGTTATAAAGCCACATCTAATAGTTGGTGGTGATTTTTTATTTTCAAGACTGTTACTGTAAGCTCACACTATTTCCACTAGAACAGTACTGAAGTATCTCATCACCTTACTGCCAATCTTCTGCTTTACACACTAAGCTCACCTGTAACCAGCATTTTTTCCCCACTCTGTAACACTGCCTGCGCACAAACAGTTCTCTATCTGACAAATGTATGTAAGCCAGCAGATCACAGAATGAATCACAGAATGGTCAGGGATGGAAGGGACCTTAAGGATCATGAAGCTCCAACCCCCTGCCACAAGCCTCCCCATTTAATACCAGCCGAGGCTGCCCAGGGCCCCAATCAACCTGGCCTTGAACACCTCCAGGAATGGGGCATCCACAGTCTCTCTGGGCAGCTGTTCCAGCACCTCCAGATCCTCCACCCAGAGCCCTTCTCTTAAGCTGAACAGCCCCTAGGCCTTCTCACAAAGGTATGGTTTGCATTCTTTTCACTTTTCTTTAAAGTTAAGCTGACGCTCCTTTGAAGCTCCCTGTCTGCAACAGCCCCGCTGCTTCTTGCAGCTACACTCTCACATGTTTTTTAGCCATTTCAACAGTGAGTTCTGGTGAAGAGGATCAGCAGGACAGCGTTTCTACCTTCAACCACCACACCCCCATTTCACGGGCTGTCATTCCAGCCTCAGCCTTACTCATTGTACACCTTCCAAGCATTGCAGCCGTGCTGGGACATCAGCTCCAGGTTCTCGATGCGCACAGCCTGGTGCTCCAGTTGCGCCATAGAGTTGTTAACGCATTCCTGCCACGCCGTGATGTCGTTCTTCTGCCCGGAGGAGGGAGCCGGCAGTTCGTATCTGAAACGCAGCGCCGTTCGGATCCCGCCCGGAGCTCCGCGCCGCATTCCTCCCCAGCCAACCCCTCACCTCTTCATGCTGAGCAGCTCCAGGGGCTGCCGGGCCGCCAGGCGCTCGAACTCGTTCCGCATGATCTCGGTCTGCGGGGAGAGGGCGGTGAGGGGCGGGCGGGGGGACGGCGCGACGGGACGGGGCGAGGCGGCTCACCTCGAAGGCGCTGCAGTCGTGTGCCGGCAAGTAGCTGAGATAGTTCTTCGTGGGACGGTAGCGCCGCGTCTCCTCCTCCACAAGAGCCGCAGCCTAACGCACAGAGGCGTCAGGCGGGAACGAACCGCGCAGCACCGCACCGCACCGCACCGCCTCGGCCCGGCCCGCACTCACCGCCTCGCGCACGCCCGGCGCCTCGTAGCCCTGATCGAAGTAGGGCAGTGCGTCCACCACCACGTCTCCCGCCACCAACCCCGGTCCCGCCATGATGCTCGCGACTACCGCGCATGCGCCCACCCTCAGACGGAGCGGCGCTTCGCATTGCGCCTGCGCGCACCGCCCGGACCCACCCCCCGCCCCGCCCAGAGAGGAGAGGACACGGGTGGTTGGTTGCGGCACTGCTGCTTGTTATGGCGGCCCGGAGTGGCCGCCTCAGCTGTGGTAGAAGCTGTGAGTCCGGCTCCGGGCAGGGGTTGGTTCTCCACCCGCCTCCTCGCTGCTCTCTGCCGTTCTACGGCAGAGCACGTTCATTTCTTCTGGAGAAATTTCATCTTACTTCCTAGAGGAAAACAAAACAAAACAAAACAACATGTCAGGATTTGGAGATGTATCTTGGTCAGTGGTCCAAGGAGCTTCTGAGAGCAGAAACCCACACAGAAGGACTTCTGTCCTGTGTTGCACGTACTGCCAAGCCCGAAATTGCCAAGTTTGGACAACTCTGGGATTAGAACACTTCCGCACATTTTATCCAAAGTCAAAACTTTTATTTAAAATAAATACCTTACAGTCATATCAAGAAATGGCCTGGGTTGAGAAGGACCACAATGCTCATCCAGTTCCAACCCCCTGCTGTCTGCAGGTCACCAACCAGCAGACTACCTGGCCTTGAATGCCTGCAGGGATGGGGCATCCACAGCCTCCTTGGGTGAGGCAAAGGAAAGCAGCATGTGTACACAAGGCAAAATATAGGAGGGAAATAAAATAAAAAAGCTGTCTCCTTACCAAGAGTGCGAAGGATTCTGTTCATCCCAGTCGGCTCAGTCTCTGGAATGCTCTCCAGATACTCCAAGGCACGGACCTCAAAAAGACCTACAGAGAGAAAGCAGCACGCAGTTGGGTGAGATCCTCCACCTCAGGCATCAACATCGTTGTGTGCAAGACCAAAGCCAGGAGGGAGACAAAGGCATCCTTTGCTTAATGAGATTAACTTTACTGAACACCTAGAAGGCCACAGAGCTATTACATATGCCAACAGGAAAACTTGCTGGGGCAAAAGGCTTTGTAAGAGTTAAAGATACGTGATGTGGAAGTGAGTTTGTAAAACAAGAAAGCCTCACCTTTGACAGCACTCTTACTTAGCTCTCGATCCTGTATGAACCCTGCAAACATCTGTGTCTCCATGAAAAAGTGCAGGAAATGGCGCACGTTGCGTGACGTGTGGGATTTACGGAATGGTTCCCGCTGGAACACTCGCTCTCCTTTCTCTGTAACGTTCATGTGCAGGGAATAGTGACCAACAATCTCCACAAAGAAGTGCACAAAAGCTTCGGAGACCAGGGAGTTTAAAGGCATGTCACCTGTGAAGAAGATAGCAGAGGAGAAATGTCCAAAGTGACTCACATTAGAGGGACACTCCTCTTCTAAAAGAAGAGCAACAGATGCTTTTTCGGCTGGCTTTCTCAGACTATGGAATTTCATATGGGTATTCAATACCAAAGGAGACTTGGCTCAAGTGTTTAGACTCCTCTCCCATGACAGCTTTCTGCTGAGACAGGTTCCATTTTGAAGCTTTTCCAGCAGTGAAAGCATTCAGAATTTCTTTTCACCCAGTAAAAAACTAATAAGCAGTAAGTTCATAATAGTCTAATTCTTTTAAAGA